CATATGTAGCAGGAGGGGAGAGGAGAAGGGGAAGTGGGGCACACCCACACCCATGTAAAGGGTGCACGGGGCAGGCAGCTGCACGCCGGATGCTGGCAGGGTGGGAAATTCAGTTTTAGTTGGGGCAGCCATGTGCCCGGCTAAAAATTGGGCTTTCTAATACATGAAAGGGCTGAGAGATACAAAGGGACAACCAGCTGCCTCTGTGATGTCTACATGCTTCTAAAAGTCATTTACTCTCCTACCAGGAGATCCAACCAGGGCATCCCAAATTTTATGAAAATTAGCTGATTATAAGAATATCCTTTCTGACCCTACTATGAACAGGACTGGGGAATATGAATGAGAAATCCCCTAAGTCATGGCTGTAGGGCCACACCCATCCTGGGAGACAGAGGAGGCTATCTACAGTTTCCACCAACACGGATGCAAACCCACTCAGCTTCCTGGTGCCTATCCCTGCCAGGCTTTGTTGCCTTTTTGTGGACATTGTTTGACGTAGAGACAAGATGGGTAATGTCTGAATCCCAAGCTATTCTACAATGAGCCTCAGACTCACAGGGCTGGAAGGAAAGTCAAGATAATTTGGCCTCCTGTTTGTTTTAGAGATTGGTCACCTGGCATCAAAAGCTGGGGAGGGACTTATTCAAAGTCACGGGGCTGTAAGTGATGGGGCCGAGAGCCGTCTGGGTCCCCGTGTTCTTTCCAGTGAACACCGCAGTGCCCTCACTGGGCCAGAGTTATCTCTGCCTTCTAGTCCCTTTTTTAAATGAAAGAGATCCATGGTCACCAAATCAAATGCCGTCGAATCCATCTGTTCCCGGCCCACGTCTTCCCAGCGACACCCACAAGTAGTCCTTGAGCTGTTCCTGCACATCCCTTCCAAATCTTGAAAGAGGAAGCTACTCGTGGAGCTTTCAAGGTATGTTGTCATCTAGTATCTGCTAAGCTTGATGAGGAGGTAACTCTTGTACTAGCTACCACATTCCTTCCTGATGCCTTGTGTGGTAAGGCACTATTTTTAATTGCACCATAATTAGTGTTTTTGTCATGTGACCAGCAGATACTATTCCCTGCAGAGCCAAATACTATACTAGGGTTGCATTTTCCTTCTTTTAAAGCTATTGTTTTTCCTCAAGTTAGTAATTTCCTCCTTCTTTTCACTTGCAAAATTTGCTTACAGATAGTTATTTCCAAATCCTTCATCATTTAATCTGCTCCAGTGTTTTACAAGCTGTTTTGATCACAACTTATCATAAGCAATATATTTTACAGTGGAACCCGGCACACACAGGTGCATACACACACACACACACACACACACACACGTGACATATATATGAATAAAAGTTTCACAAAACAATATTCCCTTTTGCTATGAGTGATGCCTTTGGTGTTTTCTACTCCACCCTGTTTAATGTTTTAAAATGCTGGTTGCACTCACTGAAGTGCTGTTGGTCTGAGACGCTCTGGGCTAGTCCTGCAAGATCTCACTTTCCCTGGGTCCCGGCGGCCCCTGCCCACAGCCCAGCTCCACCCCGCCATGGACAAGCTCCCCAGTGGCTGCCGCCCTCATCGGGAGTCTGCTTTGTGCTCTGCTCTTGAGTTGATCAGCTTTTTGGTGTGTCTCGTGTCTTCTCTCTTCATTAATTTTCTTCTTTTCATGATCCACTTTCAAATTATTTTTAATTGAACAAGACAACATTTTCAGTGATTCTCCAGCATTATATTTTATCTTTTCTTTTAAAAAAATTACCATTTCTCCTATAACAGAAAGTACTGGTGGGAAGGAGAAAGTTACAATAGGAATCACACTAGGCAGGAACCAAGAGAGCAGAGAGGAGAACAGCTCTCCCTGTGGCCGCGGCTCTGCAGGGACATGTGGATGAAAAGCCAGGCGTCCGGCTGTGTACGTCCCTGGAGATGTCCGGACGATGGAGCGAAACGTCACCGTGGCTGTAAGCAGAGCTTCTTGCCCTCGGCACTGCCGACGCTCTGGGCAGCACAAGCCTGCCGTGGGGACCATCTTGTGCACTGCAGGAGGTGTGGCAGCGTCCTTGGCCCCCGCCCACCCGACGCCAGGAGCAGCCCCCCCCCAGCTGTGACAGCCACAAGTGTCTCCAGACACTTCCGAATGTCCTCTGGGGGCAAAGCTGCCCAGCCGGGAGCCACGGCTCTCACGGTCTGTCCCCTGCGCCTGCGGTTCCGGGCTGCTCCTGGCCTATCGATTACGTGTCAGCTGGAGCTTGAATTGGTCGATGGCATCCTCGAGTCTCCGCGCTGGAGTGCAATTATGTGACAGCGTGACTTGCCATCCTGGTCCCGTGGGAGACTAAAGGCAGAACCGAGCAGGGCAGAGGGCCCAGGGCCTGCCCCCCGGCCTCAGTGTCACTGCCCAGGACGGTCCTCGGCCTCCCTGAGCCGTTACAGACGCCGATGCCACAGAACTGGCTCTGCCCGCACTTCACAGGCTCAGCAGACAATTGATAAAAACTGCGTGTCACTTACAAATTGTTCTTAAAATGGACCATTTCCTGCCGCTTGGGGACCTGCTGCCGTTTCTCCTTCAGCATCGACATCTGAGACGCCGTCTCTGGGAAACGGCGACCATCGATGGTGCCGAGACACTTGAGTGGCCAAGAGCGTCCTGGGTTGAAACTCAGGTCACAACGCTGGGTCTGAACTGCAGGGAAGAATTCATTCCAGAGATGGCGAGAGCAATTTCCAACAATGCCGTGACGCCCTTCAGGGTTGGGACAGGCCTCTCTGCCCGCTCTGCCTGGGGTCCCAGCCAGGGAGGCCCACGAGTCTGCTCCGGTGATGAGTCACAAAGCCAGCGGAGGGCTGATCCAGAGGGATCACAAACATGACATGAAACAGGCTGCAACGCTGGCGAGCCAGGGATAGTGGTGGGGCTGTGACATTTATCTGTTCTACCCCCCTACCCCCCAGAGCTGCTCTGAGTTCACTCCTGACCCCGCTCAGTCCCACATGCCAACTGCCAGCCCTGGAGGTGGTTCCCTGGGAGCCACCTGGGGACCCCCGAGCTCACAGTCAGCTTACCTGGAGACACCCGGCACCCTGAATGTGCAGCTCACAGAAGGAGGCCTCGAGCCGAGGTGACGTCTGAGGGTTGTCTACGCTGTTGTCATTCATTTAATTGTCATTCCATCTGAGCAGTCTCATTTTCGGAGAGTAATTCCAAAGCGCTTTCAGGATCTTGATCACCTCAGTGTCGTGTTCTTGGTGGGAGACAGTGGCAGCAGAGGCACCCGCCGTGCTGCTTTTAATTAACTCATCTGATCCTGCAGTAATCTCGGGATCGACACTTGTCCTGGGAGCGAAACGCTCGCTCCTTCCTGTCCCCATGGCCCAGGGCAGGGGGAGCTACAGCAGGGTCTGCCTTGGAGTGGCCCCTGCAGCCGGGTCAGGCTTGTGTCTGCACTTATGGGGACATACGTGTCCTCCCGTGACGGCACTCATGCCCACCTGCTTAGGTTGCGTGTCGGGAGGGGACGTCACAGGCGTGGAGCTGGGGCGGGTGGGCCGGGAGCTGCTGGGGCGCAGAGGCTGGAAGAGAACTTTCCTTCTCCGTGGTCGGGCAGAGCTCAAGGCGGCCCCTCAGCCTCGCCAGGGTTGGCTTTCTCATCTAGGGACACCTGTCCACGTCTGTGGCCGAGTGGCTTCTCCACTGCAGCCCACGCGGAGACACTGGCATGTCCCTGGCCCCCATGGGACTCTCGCCTCCGTCTCTTGTGGCTTTGAACCAGGAACTGGAAGAGGCCGTGACCCACGATCAACCATAAATCCCAACAGACATTTTTATAGTTAAAATGGTTATAATAAAATTGTTATTTTTTATAGTTAAAAGTTACACAAATTCCTCTTTTGAATATTTTTTATGTGCCCAACGTACATGGTGTTTATTCTATGTTTGTGCTTTTTATGATGTGGGCTTGTGACCTGGGAAAAGAAGGGTTTTTATGGGGACAACCCTCAGGGACGCAGAAACCTGGGGGCCGTGAGCCCCCCTGCTCGGGCAGGGACATGCTGGGGGGGGATCGAGGTGTGGGTTCTGGGGGACAGTGTCAGGAAGGCCTGGCCGTGGGTTCTGGGGGACAGTGTCAGGAAGGCCTGGCCGTGGGTTCTGGGGACAGTGTCAGGAAGCCTGGCTGGGTTCGGGGGACAGTGTCAGGAAGGCCTGGCCGTGGGTTCTGGGGGACAGTGTCAGGAAGGCCTGGCCGTGGGTTCTGGGGGACAGTGTCAGGAAGGCCTGGCCGTGGGAGTGGAGGGAGCTCCAGGACAGCCTGCAGGAGCTGAAGGAACATCGGCTGTTTGTTCTCTAAGAGGCCCCTGCGGCGGGAGACCATCACACGCCCACCGCAGGCTGAGCCAGTCAAGTGCTCAGTGAAGAAAGGAAAGTGAGTGAGCCCGTCTGGGAAGCTCAGTCCCTCCAGGGCAGAAGCATAGGCCCCACCGAGGCCACCCCTGGGCGCTGTCGGAGCCTCGCCCAGCCCAGTGTCTGCCCTGCCCTGAACCTGGGCCAACGGAGGGACCACAGGGCAGGAGGACTCTGGAGAGCCGCAAGGGACTCCCCTGGCCTGAGTGGCACAGCCCCTCACTAGCACACGGGGCCAGTGGGGCTCAGGGAGGAAAAGTGGCTTTTCCAGGACCCCCAGCAGCAGGACCGAGGGCCAGCCCCGACTCCTCCGTCAGTGCTCTGTCCCCGCCTGTAACTGCCCGTTGGGGCCTGGCCTGTGCGGAGCCCTGTAGAAACCTTTCCGTTTCATCCTGACCCTTCAAGGGGAGGCTGGGATCAACCCATCCTACAGATGCGGAACTGAGGCTCAGAGGCAGGTGGGGAGGAGGGATGGGACCAAACCCGCAGCTGTGAGACTCCGAAGAGCCCGTCACCTCTCCTGCGTGCTCCCCAGACGGGACATTCCACCTGAGACAATCAGCTCTTTCTCACATTAAAAGGAAATAAAAGAAAACGTTAATTGTTGGAATGATTCTCTAATCAGACTTTCAAGGAAACTTCCACGACTTTGAGCGTTCACAGCAACACTAACAGTGAATATCAGCTTCTTCCCCCGCCCGGCCTTGCTGAGCACTTTCTGGCATTGGCTTGTTTAACTTCGTCACAGACTCACAGGACAGGATTCGATGTCACAGCCTTGGCCCTGTTTTAAGGGTGTGGAAACCTCAACAGGGAGAGAAGAGGTCACTTGCTCTAATCCCCGGCCCACGGTTCTCTTTCCTTCGAAATACACCCTGGATGGGATGTTGAAACCTAAGGGAGGTTGTAGTACTGAGGGTCATTGTTCCCAGTTCTTCCCCCTCCCTTCCCTGGATCCGTGCCCTTTGTCACGTGACTGTGTAGCTTTTGCCTCTAGATGTGGAGTCCGTCTCCTTGTCCCGTTACTGCTGGGTTTGGTCACGTGACTTGCTTTGGCCGATGGGGCATTAGCTGGTATGATGTCACTGGAGGGTGGAAGGTGCTTGCACAGCTGGCCTGGCCCTCTGTGCTCCTGCCTCCCTCATGAGAGAGCAGGCCTATGGTTGTCACTGTCCAAGGACGAGGAGAAGCATGTGACACAGCAGACCTGGACCCAGCTCTCAGCTTGGAGCCAGGAACGGCCAGGCCTAGCCCAGACTCGATGACCCCAGCAGACCTGTGGACGTGAGAATGAGAAACAGATGCTGTTGTTTGCAACTGAGGTCGGGCGTGGTTGTTATGCAGCACAACTGTGATCAACTGTGCTGATACAAACCCTTCTGACCCAACCCACTGCAGTGCACAGGGGGATCCAAATCCAATGCCCTCAGTGCTGTCTTTTCCCCAAAACACACCACGCTTTCCACTGCGCCCCAAGGATCTTCAGATTGGACAGTGGGTTGCTGCCCACCGGGTACTGCTGGCCCCTGTTCCCAAAGGGCAGCCCAGGCTTTTCGGGTCTAGCTCAGTGGAGCTCCAGCACCGTGTGTGTGCAGAGCTTTTGGCTGCTTGTTTGTTCTGTTTTTCTTTAATCAGACGGTCAAAGTTTGATCAAGCCCCTCTAATACAGAGAAAGCCTGTTTGGTTGTCATTACGTTCCTTTTCTACTTTTCCAAACTTTCTTTCATGGGCATTTCTCAAACCTAGAGGTGGCATCTTGCTGGTGCCAAGACAGCAGGGTGGTCTGTGTCCACTTTGGGTCACCCTGACATCTTCGCTGGAGAGAATCCAACTGTGTCCCTTTCTGATCACTGTTCTTGTGGCATTTCTCACTAAAGAACCATCAGCCTCATTGTCATTGGGTATCTTTGGGAGAGGAGGGAGGGAGGGCAAAGTTCTGTCCAGTCTATTGGGAATCAAGAGAGAAGGGGACGATAACTGCCCACATCTGAGAGCTTCACCCATGAGGTACTGCCTGGGCTGGGCTGTGTCGTCTCAGTTTATGGCTCATGACTCCCTAGGACATTAGTGTCGTTATTACCATTGGACAAAGAGGAAAGCAAAGCTCAGAGAGGTTATGTAACTAGCCTGAGTTCACACAGCTACAGAATTTCCACATGGAAGAAACTGTATAATTTAACTAGAAGGGGCTTCAGGGAGCTTATGCACTGCTGCTTTTGCAGAGCATATCACGGTTTATTTCGGTGGATTTGGGGTGTGATGGAAATAGACAGAGGCTTAAAATCTTCCCAGGACACCTCTTGGTGCCACCCACGATAGTCAATGGTAGTCAGCACTCATGCCAGGACCCAGGGCCCTGAGGCCTGGGGAGGCTGGAGAGAGACACCCCACATCTTGACTTTTTGGTGGTCTCCTCAGTCCAGGTGGTTCCTGGCTCATCCAAGCAGATGCTCAGTCTCTCCCTCGCTGTCTCATGCTCTCTGCTGTTTCTCTTGCTCATTCTCTCGCTCATTCTTTCACTCTCTCTCTCTCACTGCACATCTGCCGTACCTGCCCAGGTGAAGAAGTCTGGGTGGTGCCGATTCCCGGGCTGGCTGCTTCTCTCTGGCACTTTCCTTTTTCACTATCTCCCCTGCAGACCCCATAACCACAAGGGCCCCCAAAATTCACTTGGCTGCAAATGATCTCACCTGAACCATGTTTGAATTGACCTTTGTTGACTTAAGCAGAACGTTTGTTAAACCAACCACAAGGGCCAGAAAGCTTTGACGTCTTGGTAACCCCCTGCCTAGGGTAGCACGCTGGGCTTTGTGCTGCCCTCTGGGAGCCACCGAAGCCGTGAGGATGCTCATCTAAGCAGCTGGAAGTGGACAATTGTCAGGGTCAGGGGATGCTCTGTGGGCGTTTCTTCATTCTTAGCCTAAAAGCCCCCAACGCCTGGGTGCCAGGGTTTCTTCATTCTTAGCCTGAAAGCACCCAACGCCTGCGCACTGGCTCTGTCAGACACTCAGTGAGGCGGGGCCTGGAAGTGAGTAGGAAAAAGAGGAAACAGGACTGATCCATCTGATTGGGGGAACTGTGTGGAAATGAGTGAAAACGTAGAGACACTAGTAAAAGTTGTTGACAGCTGTTGCAAAGGCATCTGGAAGAATCAGGCTGCTCTGTGGCTACTGGTGCTCAGTGCACGGAGCCACAGCTGGAATAGCCATTCAATTAATCTCTCTACAAAACACATTGTTTACACATGGCGGCAGCGGGTAATTATATGGTCATTTCAGCTGCTTTAAATAAATATTCAGTTTTAAGCATCAGGCCCAAAGTTTGAGCTTTTATATTAAATCAAAATGAGCTGAAACTATATGAGCTGGTTTCTTAGACCAAAGAGCTTAGTTGACACATCCACTTTAAACTGGTGACGTCCAATTTTCCACAGTTGTTCTGTCTGGTATAAGACAATGGCAGAGAGAAAGTCCCCCACGAGGTGCTCTGCTCACTTAGTGACTTTCAGGAGGCCCCGTGTTTCCTCCACACGTTCACGGCAGAGAAGGGTGGACCAGAGGCTGGTCCGTGCCTCAGTGGAGCTCCTGTCCTCAGGTGGAGCTCAGGACCCTGTGGACCTGCCCTAGAACACACTCCCTATGATGCTGAGCTAAAAAATGAGAAGAGAAGAACATGAAGAGATGCCCTGTTTTTAAGAAAACTAATCTGTACTGAATTCTTTACTATTTCCCACCGTTCAGTGCTTCATGGTGCTGGAAGGTCAGGTGCAGCCGGAGCCTGTACCTGGCGGGGTTTGCACTTGGCAAGGGGCGCCGCCACTGGGAACCGAGCTCAGTCCTGGTGGAAGCCTCCGGCACACTGGGCCCAACAAGACCCTTCCCACCCCCTTAACCTTTGCATGTAGGACCACAAGAAAGCCTGAGGGTCTTGTTTCAATTTAGAATTAGCGTCTAGGGCTGTACCACCCTGAACGTGCCTGGTCTCATCAACCTAGAATTAGGTTTTCCCTCTTCCAAATCATAAACTAAAATTATAACAAGACTGATTCAAGACTTTCTAAACTAAAGATGTTCATGCCAGCGTTTATAATAACCACAAAGAAAAAGAACAAAATAACAACTCTATTGTCCAGCAATAGAGGACTGTTGAAGCCAGTTATTGTATGTCTGTAAGGTGAAATATTTTAAGCTATTAAATTTTGTGTTTTGTGAGACTGCTTTCTGGCATAAAGAAATGTACATGATAAAATTTGAACTAAAAATCAAGGCAGGATGTGAAGAGTACACATTCAACCTAAATACTGATTTTACAAACCAAGTAGACTTTTTATACGTGCATTAAAACTACTGGATAAAGTTGGATTTTATTTTTTCTCCATTTCTAGGAATATTTTGTAAACTTTCTATTGCCTTTTAAATCAGAAAATAAATGAAGATTATTGAATGTAAAAATATAATAAAAGTATAGAGCTCCCTTGATGTGTGACATGTAATTGTCTTTGCAGCTGGGACATTTTTTAGCTTCTCCCTTCTTCCTTGGGAAGCCCCAGGGCAGAGACCCTGTCTTCTTACTGTCTTGCTGGCGCCAGGACCATAATCAGGGCTCCATGAATAATTGATAATGACAAAGACCCCAAAATGGGCCATTCATTTCGGGTGCCTGCTAACTCCTCAATGCATTCTCTTAAGTGCATTTCATTTGTTTTGAAATTTTTTTCAACTGAAATGGATGAAAATTAAAGCCAGAAGAGAGCCGTTGGCTTGCTGAGAGCCAGAAAAAAGAAAAATAAATGAATGAGCTCCATTCCTGCAGGGCCCAGTGTGGAGCCCGGACCTGGGGCATCTGCGGCGTCTGAAAGTTCGTTCCATCACCCAGCGGTGCTCTGAGGCTCTGCGGTCTGAGAGTCAAAAAAGAGTGGATAATACACTGAAACCGTTCAAAATTGTGAATACGACATAAAGGTGACTTAGCGATCAGAGGGAAAGGGCTCTGTTCTGAGTCCTTCACCAGCAGGTGTTTACTGAGCACCCGCTCCTGCCAGTCACAGGGCACAGGAGGGACGTCCCCACTCTCAGAGGTTACCTTCCAGGCTGGAGGACAAACACCAGCTATTGACCCAGGACTTGTGTGGCCTGTGGCAAGTGACAGTTGCTATAAAGAACAATAGAGGTGAAGGGCAAGGTCATATAGGTGGTCGGGGAGCCCTCTCTGAGGAGGTGAGTGAGCCCTGGGAGGAGCAACCCAAACAGCAGGCATAGCATGTGCAAAGGCCCTGGGGCAGGAGAGACCTCAGTGCTCCTTGGTGAGGGATAGCAAGGTGACCAGTGTGGCTGGAGCAGTGTGGTTGAGGAGGAGGTGAGGTCACAGGAAATGGGGCCTTCATGTTGGCCACACACTGTGAGGCCCTGCACCCGGGAGAGGGCTCCAAGTGATGTGGTTAGAAGGAGACCCGTGGCCTGAAGAACTGTGTTCACGTGGGCAGGCTCTGGTGGAGAGCTGTGGTTCTCAGGGTGTGGCTCCAGGACCAGCAACATCAGTGTCCCCTGGGGCACTGCCAGAAATGGCAGCTCCATGGTTTTACGAAGACCCACTGAATTGGAACCCCTGAGGGGGCCCGGCCGTGGGAGTTGTCACAAGCCCTCCAGGGGGTTCTGAAGCTTGCTAGAGTTCGAGGAAGCCCTGCTCCAGCTTTCACCCAGGGGACAGGAGTTTGGGTGGAAATTCAGGGGGGTAGGGTCCCCATCAGAAGAAGCACCCCAGGAGGATGGTCACATGGGGCCCAGGCATTTGCTTGTCCTGGAAATGCCATCCAAGGACAGGGAAGCAGCTCTCTGGGCTGGCATGGAGAGGCTGGGGGACGGGGCCAAGGGCTGGGGTGTAGACACCCAGCTCTCCCGTGTTGGGGCAGCTCTGCGGTGCGTCCTCTGCACAGATCCCGGGTTGCTCAGTGGGATGAAGTTGGGAAGGGGGTTGCAGCAAAGGGGCAGCGTGGCCAGAGGGGAAACAACGTGGCACAGTCAAGGCCCTGCGTGTAACTGCGCCGGGAAAGGAGGACGATCCTGGGATTCTGGGAGCAAGATGGGCAGTGGCCAAGGAGCACATCTGCCCAGGAAAGTGGGCCCCAGAGAGGCCTCCAGCGCAGGGCTCAGGAAGCTGCTACCCCTTGGGGTTCTTTCCCCAGGGAGCCTCCAGAGCCTGGAGATCCTCGTCAGGAAGGGCCACTGTCCATCTTGCGTGGAGCACAGAGAAGGATGAAGAAGCGTCTCTGGTGGCCCCAGCTTCCGGCTCTCCTGGGCCTGGGGGTGGGAAACGCCCCAGGTCAGCATGACTTTGAAAAGAAGCTTTGAGAAAAGCCTCCAGTGATCCTGAGGCACGAAACCCACTCTGGGTTGCAGGGAGCATTTCCCAACATGCATGAACTCCCAGGGGTGATGTTTATTTACAGTTGTGCTGTTTTTCCTCCTCTGTTCTCTTGACTTTCTCATCATCCCAGTGTAGTCACAGCAGGTTCCCTTGTCCTGCGTCAAGCTCGGTGTAAGGTGCTTCGTGTAGGGGGCAGGGTGACAGGGGGACTCTGAGTTCCAAGTGTCTCTGCCCACATTTCTATCCTTCCTCCCTGGCTCAGGGAGGTGCCAGGTATGGCATCGCCTCATGGCAGGTACTTTCATAGGACAGAGGCAGGAGCTACTTGAGAAAGACTTAGCTCATTGGGGGTGGGGTGGGGGGGAGGAGATTCCTGAAGAACAGAAAGAGGTGATGTTCTCCAGGTCCGAAGAGATGTGTCCAACTGCAGAGGGTGGCTGCAAGGTCCCCACACCTACAAGGAGGAGCCGTTTGGATCCCGCAGGTGGCTGACCAGAGATGTGAGCTCAGTTTCTTCTTCCATAACATCAAGTCTGGCCCTGCAGGGCTTCACTCTGGCTGTGTGTTGCTAACACCTGGGTCGGTTTAAAAACTCCTGATTCCCAAGCCGGATCCCAGCTGTAGCACCTCAGGACCTGTGGCCGCAGCACCAGGCATCAGTCTCCTTAATGCCCCTCAGGTGACTCAAGTGTGCAGCCAAGATGGAGAGCATTGACCTAAACTAATTACTGTTTCTGAGAATTCTGGGACCATGGGATGCTTATAGCAGGCAGGACCCTAAGAAATCACCTGCCCCAACTTCTGCCATTCACCAAGGAGGAAGCTGGTTTTCAGAGATGTCAAGTCATTCACCTAAAGTCACACAGCACAGGAGTGGCAGAGCCATTTGAAATATTCCCCACCACCTCTCAACTTCCCTAGAAGGGCAGCCTGAAGCTCTGGATGCCATGGAGGAGTCGGGTCTGAGCGGGCCACATGGAATCCCAGATTTCCAGGAAGGCACCCCAGGCCTCCCTGCAGCTCACAGAGTCAGCCAGTTGCAGTGACTGAGTCATCTTCTTGGAGAAAAATTCTAGCAGGCTTGAAATACCTTCCAAGATGTAGCAAAGGGAGATATGCCTGTGAATTGGAAAAGATTGGGCAATAGACGGCAATTTGTGTTTTGTGGCTTCTTTCTCGAAAAGGAAATAAACATGGCAGAATTGCCTTCACTGAGAGAACATCTGGGTTTCATAAACAGACCATAAAGTGGCAACAGAAGACCCAGAACAGCCCCAAATCAGCATCTGTCCCTGTCATCTGGCTCTACCTCCATCCCAGTCCTTCTGTGTCACCCGGCTCACCACACGGGGAAGCATTCTTGCCTTTTGGAAGGAGGACCCTCCCCTCCTCCCCCAGATACTTGTCTCTTGGCCCCGCCCACACCTGGAGGAGGCGGTACCTGATTGGTGGGAAGATGAGACTCTGGGCTCCATCCAGTGGGCAAACGGTCACAGGAGTCAGGATGCTTTAGGCAGCAAGTGACAGACTATCAGCTAGAAGTGGCTTCTGCCCTTGCTGCCCAACGTGGGGTCCACGGATCAGCAAGGCCAGCACCAACGGTTTGTTAGAAGTTTGGAATCTTAGGTTCTACCTTAGACCTACCCAATAAGAACAAGCATTTCCCATGAGGAACCCGGGTGACTCACGCGCTCAGTAAAGTTTCAGAGGCAACAATGTAAGTTGGAAAAGGCACGTGTTAACTCGTTTAACAAGAAGCCGTGAAAAGGCAACTCACTGTGGTTTACTCGGTAGCTCCAGGACGTCAGACCTCGGTCTCCGCACCTCTGAGGTGCTCTGGCCTCACCCCGGGTTCAAGCCGGCTGCCATGGCGCGAGCGTCGCCAACCGTGACCAAGCGGAGGAGGAAGGAGAGCGGGACCGTTGTCCTCCTGTATGGAGGGGAAATCTTCCCCAGAAGCCTCCAGTGGCTGTCCCTTAGGTCCCATTGGCTGGATCTTGATGCCACGCCTACTCTTAAACCAATCACAAGCAAAGGGAATGAGGATTACCGTGATTGGCTCTTGAACCATTGACCAATCACGTTGCTCCCCTTGGGCCTCGGACAGGCCCCTTCCCCCAGCGGGTTGTTTTCTGCCTGAGGGAGCGGAAGGGCCGCGCTGTGTCGTCAGGGAAGAAGGGAGAACGGTCCTCAGCGTCTGCCCCGAACCTGGCTGTGTCCCCCCACCCTCTCTGCCATCAGAGCGCGACACAGCGCGGCCCTCCACTCGCGGGGCTGTCCGCCTGCTTGGCCGGCCCGGCTCCCCACAGTCAGGGCCCGGCGCTAGACGGCGGAGCAGGAAGGCAGAGAAAGATGCAGGCACGGACCCTGCCCACCTTCGAGTGCGCGCTCGGAGACCCACTCCGGATTCCTTGAGTTAGTGTTTTTGAAGAAATGTATGGGAAGGGAATGTAGGAAGATTAAACGTGAGGAGGCAGATTCAGGGGCTGGGCGCCATCAGGGCAGCTCCTGGGTCCCTGAGCCGCCATCATGGCGGTTCCACTCCAGCCTGTGGGCCTCGTGTCACTGTCCACGGTTCAGATCCGCAGGGGAGGAAAGGACTGCTGTCTTGGCCGCATGTTAACCCCTGCACTGGGGAGGGGGTTGCAGTTTGACTGAAAGTCCCTTGTGCACCACAGTGGCAGGAACGGGGAGTCTCTCAGTGGACGCCTGAGGACCTGTCGTCGGAAGAAGAAGAGCACGCCAGCAGAGCAACCTCACATGCCCTCCCAGAATCCTACCTGCACCACGCCCCTCCAGCCCAGCCAGCCTGCCCCCACCCAAACATCCCTCCCTCCTCGTCCTTGCTTGTGCTGGGATCCCTCCTGGAAGGCTCCTCTCCCTGTCTGCCCCTCGACTTTCATCGTCCTTCAAGACCCAGGTAAGCCACTCCCCTCCCCCAGTAAGCACCAGCCATTGCTGTTGCACCGTTTCAAGGTTTCTCAGTCTTGGCACTATTGACATTTTGAGCGGGTTGACTCTGTTGTCGGGCTGTCCTGTGCATCGCAGGACTCTACTCAGTAGTTGCCAGTAACACTCCAACCCAGTTGTGACAACCAAAACTGTGACTGCACTCTGGAGCGAAAAATGGCCTCTGGTTGAGAGCCACTCCTTTTCTGACCCTGAGGCACTAAGATTTACTGCCATAGCAACTTAATTACATAGTAGTGTTTATTTAACTTTTCAGAGCTGCCTCTTGCCTTCACTAACACACTGTCACCAGCCAGGAGAGCAGCCACTGTGACTGCAGCACAGAGTGTTCCAATGTCCTATGTACATTCAAAGCAAGTAGGGGGCAGAGCTGGCTTTGTCCTGAGGGGTCTGAGTCCATTGGCAGCACCATCAGCTACGATTTTCACAGGATATCATGGCTCATAGTCCTCTTGAGGGGCCACGTTCTCCATGCAGTGTGTCACCTGTAGGAAATGCAGGCGTTTCCCATCCTTCGTTTCTGTCCAACGTTAACTCATCTGCTATTTAGCACAAGGCCTTCATTAAATTAGAGCTAGTAATTTAGTAGATGCATTAACTTTACTCAGTCATTCCGACAGTGATAAGATCTGCATTTTGCTCACTGCTGGATCTCAGAATCTAGCAGAGTTGTTGGTGCATGGCAGGAGCTCATCATTATCTGTCTCATTTAATTGAATTGCGTTCTGATTCTTTGTAACTTCATCACACCTAACGGTGTTACGCAAAAGTTGTTAGAAAAATACTTTTCAAATGGTTAAATGTTTGATCAATCAATAGGTTTTTAATTGAGTGTCCTTACAAGAGAATATCATAAATTGAGTATAAAAGTGCTATTATTGCTGTATGTCGATTACCCAGATTAAATGCTTCTTTAAGTGTTAGAGAGCCTGATGATTCCATTTTCTTGATTTTAAGTTCTGATCTTTTCAGTTACGATATATGCAGGTTTGGAAACCTGTGAAATTTATACTGTGGCTGCTGGGAACTCATAATGCTGGTGGCCAATTTAAAAAATTGTCATGGAAATTTATATTCATTAGAAATGATGACAAGTTCTGGAATGGGATTCTGCAGAGTCAGTTTAAGGAAATTTGTTTCGGGGATATAACTGAAGAAGCAGCAAGCCAACTTGGACGTGACACCCCAGAGAGACCAAATGCAGCTTGATGAATGGCACCCAGCATGGGAAAGTGCTATGGGCTGGTCCCAGAGGGGCCGCATATTTTCTGACAATCGGCAACTCTGTTAACTACAAATGGGTTAGGGGACAAGGAGGAAGATTGCCTGTAGCCCACAGGGAATAGGACAGTTGTCCTCTTGACTTCCACACAATCCTGAAATGCTTTAGAATTCATCAGTGGGGAGATCCTTGGGTATTTAGCCATGTTCCCCTGGGGGCTGTGACCCAGTAGTGGTGGGAAGTGGAGCTGTAGGCGGGGGTAGGGAAGCTGGGACATAGCATTTACCCTGAGCATATTGTCCTGAAATGGTACCTTTGCAACAGTGTTTTTGAAGTATTGGTTGACATGAGTGGTATTAGGACAATGATCAAAAGACTTTCTAGAAAGCATTCTGAAATATGCAAGTGCAGCACAGTGGCCAGCCTGTGAGGTCCCCTATGAAGAGTTGAAAGTCGGTATCTCTGTGTGCAAGTGTGCTCACTCATCTGCACTAACCCGCCACCCAAATGGCACAGACCCCATCCAGACCACCAAGGCCCACTACCCCAGGGGTGGGACCAGCCTCTGGCTCTGAGACTTATAAGATGAGAATGATTTTCTCTGGAGAAGCAAAAAGGTTTAGAGCTTTGAAAACTGCAGGCACATTCTCCTCTAGTGCTGTTTGGATGCTATTCATGCTACAGCCTGCGGTGACTTTCAGAGCCCAAGCTTGGAACTGCTTAATCCTGAGCTGGGGGTTTCTTTTACCAAGGGTCACTTCTCCCGCTGGGAGTGCAAGTACTTCTACATCACCTTCCAGGCAGGGAGCGAGAGGACTAACAGAATGGCACCAGAAAATCACTTTACACAGGCAACAAAATGACAAAAAACTCCTTGAAATGGGATTGAATGCTACGCCCACCTCACTGATAAATGCGGCTTTCAGCAGTCTCATCTCTTCACTGGAGAGATCAGACAACTCAGATGAACAGAGAAACACTTGTTACCTTCTCATTTGGCACCAGGTGTCCACAGCTCTCTGAAACCATTCTCAAGTTCAAGTGCAGCTGGCTCTGCAAGGGGAGCTGAGTTAGAGTTTGAAAAGCCCTGATTATGGGGCTTAGTAATTTTCTTTGTAAAGGGCAGTTTTGAGTTTAGAGACAAAGCAATTGTAGGTACAAAAAGACCTCAAACTGTAAAAGGAGAGTATCCATCATTCTGTGCCTCTATTTACTCAACAAACAATAAAAAAAAAAGTGTCAGGGGATGTTGAAGAAGTACTTCAACATTCTCTTCAGGTTTCAAAAGTGAAGACCTGCCCAGATAGCATGTCAAGTCCTAAATGCTGGAGTCCCCATAGGACTTCAAGGTGCACGGGGCCTTTGGAGTTGCCCCACTGTTGGGCGGGGCACCACAGTGAGTGAAGTCCTCTTGGGTGGCTGGACTATGGGCCATCACTCTCGGCACAGGGTCTTATCTCCTGTCGGTCTGGGGACCTTCCTGTGCTTTTCCTGACTTCTGGGCCCTTCTTGTGTCAGGGAATCCCCTTTGACAGATGACTTTCTCTCTGGGCATCATCTCAGCATCCTGCAAAAGCCCATCAGTTTAGAAAACCCATTTTTAAAAAGAGACACTTTACTTTTCAGAACTGGACTCATCCATACCCCAAATTGTCACCCCGCAGCTCAACCAGAGGTGGAGCCATTACAATGTGTTGTGGGTAGAAAGTGGGGGTGGGGGTCTCCAGGAAGTAGATTGTCCCCCAGACCTCTCTTTTCAAGACAAGCACATGGCAGGTGTGTGTGTATGTGTGTGCATGTGTATATATGCATGGGGCATGTGTAAGTGGACATGAGTGCACATGTACTGGGGTACATGCACGTACCTGTGTGTGCACCCATGTGTGAGCATGTACATTTTGCCTCCTCTGTTACCATGAAGCTGGGGAGGCCAGGCCTCTTCATCCATTTTTTTCTTCGGGTCCTGCAGCCTGTTTCCCAGGCATTGTCTGAGCCTGGTTAACCCAGGACTGCAGGAAGATGGCCTGGAAGCAGAGTCAATTGCTTTTTAAGTTTATATCATCCAAACTGGCTGAGAAAGAAGAAATATTTCATCATGAAAACGTTTAGTCATCTGAAGATGGGTTTATAGCGGGACCCTTCCCCTCACCACTGTGATTGGTTCAGGGTGATCACATGACCCTGGGCTAAGCCAATGAACATATGATTTCCCGATTTGCCACTGGCATTGGTTCACAACTGGGCATGTGACCAATCAGAGTGAAGACAGGACTTTTTAAATTTTAATAGACCTTATTTTTTAGAGAAGTTTTAGGTTAACAGCAAAATGAGCAGAAGGCACTGAGATTCCCGCCTATCCCTGCCCCCACACCTGTACATCTTCCCTGACTGTCAACAGCCCACACCAGAGTGATACATTTATCACAATAGGTGAACCTACACTGACGCATCACTGTTACCCAAAGTCCATAGTTTTCTTTAGAGTTCACTCGGTATTGCACATTTTATGGGTTTGAACAAATGTAAAATGACATATATTCACCATTATAGTATCATACAGAGTATTTTCACTGCCCTAAAAATCCACTGAGCTCCACCTGTTCGTCCTTCCCTCTCCCCAGTCCCTGGCAACCACTGATCTTTTAATCTATTGTCGTAGTTTTGCCTTTTCTAGAACACTATATAGTTGGAATCATACAGTATGTAGTCGTTTCAGACTTGCTTCCTTTGCTTAGTAATATGCATTTATGTTTCCTCCATGTCTTTCCATGGCTTGATAGTTCATTTTTTTTAGTGCTGAATAATATTCTATTATCTGGATTTACCTAATTTTTTTTTTTTTTGTAGAGAGTTTGTTTATCCATTCATGTACAGGAGGACATCTTAGTTGCTTTCAAGTTGGGGCCATTATGAATAAAGCTTCTATAAATATCTATATGCAGGTATTTTTGTGAGCATAAGTTTTTAACTCATTTGGGTAAATACCAAGGAACACGATTGCTGGATCATATGGTAAGAGTATGTTTAGTTTTGTAAGAAACTGCCAAATCGTCTTCTACGGTCTGTGCCATTTTGCGTTCCAACCATAAATTAGAGTTCCTATTGCTCTATATCCTCCTCAAATTTGGTGTCACAATTTTGGATTTTCTCCATTTTATTAGGTGGTTAGCAGTATCTCATTGTTGTTTTAATTTGCAATTCCCTAATGAATGTGGACTTGAGAGGAACACCCACATTTGCCCAGATGCCTCCAACTCGTTAAATCGCTTCCGAATTTCAACGAGAATCGATCGTGACATTTGGCTTGGATCACAGTCCTCCCAGCACAGAGAGTGGGGATTTGAGGGGATCTGGAGGTTCCTGTACAGGGAGGTGGAAAAAGGGAAGCTGTGATTTAGGAACATTGAGTGGGCACCTGCTCAGCATGCATTAAACATGGATTATTATATTTTTAAAATTTTTAATATATAAAATTTCCCCCTCAATGTATACCCTCTTATCATCAGGTTTATATAACCAGCAGAAGGAAGTTGACAAGTACCTGGTCCCTGTGGGCGCACTGCCTAATAGACAGGCAGCCCCCTGGGGCTTGACATTTCTGCTCAGATTAGTTTTTGAGATACGATCTGAATGCCTGTTATCTTTTTGGTGGGAGTTGGAGTGGGGGTATATCAAATAGTAATATAGGAAGGCCACTTACTTTTCTCACTAGTGGAGATTATCAATCATTTGGAACTCTTTGGGGACAATGCAATTTACAGAAGCTCTATCTGGCCAGCTATAAATTGAATGCTTAAGCTCAAGTTCAAATGTCTCTCACCCTTGACTTTGATATAAAAACATGTCATATTTCACTCATGGGCTCCATGCATGCATATAAACAATATCAGCTCTCCCAGATGGAACCCCAGAGAAAGGGAAGACAGCTATTATATTAGTTTGCTAGTGCTGCTGTGACCAATTACTACAGACCGAGTAGCTTCAACAACAGAAATTTATTTCCTCAGTGTTCTGGGGGCTAGCAGTCGAGATTTTTAAGCAGGGTGGTTTCATCTGAAGCCTTTTTCCTTGGCTTGCAGATGGCCATCTTCCTGCGTCTTCTGTTCATGTCAGTGTCCCGATCTCTTCTTTAAATACGATAGTCATATTGGTCATTATTGGACTAACGACCTCATTTAACATTAATCACCTCTGTACAGACCCAGTCTCCAAAGACAGTCACATTCCCAGGTACTGGGGGCTGTGGCTTCACATATGAATTTGGCGGGGGTACAATCTAGCCTGTATGAAAGTAAGGCTTTTTCTTCTTTTTCAACTATCACAGCTCACACCAAGATCTGTCATCCCCTGATTCTTAGAGTCATTAATCAAACTGGCAGTAAGAATTTACTGAGGACTTGTTCTCGGATGTGAGGGAGAGTGGACAGCGCTGAGACAATTAAGAATGAGAGCCTAAATTCAGATCACGTAGTCTAGCTGGAAAGATAAACATACTTAATTTAAAAAGAAAAAAAAAAAAAAAAAACTCCCTTTTCCTATTGCCAGGAAAAACTTACAAGAGAAAGACCATTCTTGGAGAGCATCAGAGAATCTTTTGGCCGGAAGGGTTTGTTGGCTTTCGTCTCTTAAGGGATAAGCCGTGTTGCTCACATTCTAGTTCCAGACGCCCATTTTGCCCACATGTAACTGAAAACGAGGCCATTTCTATTCCAGTGACTCAGCACTAAAGAAGTCATCCATCTCAGGTTTAAAATTAACTGTAAAATGAAAAAGAGACAATTCCGTGCAGGGGGAGGGTGAGAGGTAAGCACATTTTGCAACCTCAAAATCCTTCTGGGATGAAAATCATCTTTGTAAAGCTGGGACCTGGAGGAAAATTCTGACAAGTTTGTTTTATTTATTTATTTATTTTTAAAACCAAACTATTACGTATCTTGAAACTCTTTAGGAGTATTTTATCAAAGGATCCATTCTCAGCGATGTTATTTTGGGGATGCATTCGATACCAGCTGACATGCTTCTATTTAGCATTCCACTGACTTTGAAAATCACAGCACCCAAATTAAAGGCTCTGACTAAAGAAGGGAGTGAGTCTGCGAGCGGAGGCTGATTAATATATTCATATCTGTGCCAGTCTTTCTTGCTATAGATGAGGGTGAGACTGCTGCATGAATTATTTACTTATTTTGGAAGAAAAGAAAAGGAAAAGGGGGTGCGGTGGCTCGCAGGTGAGCTGATTCCTCATCTACATCTTCCTTCTGGTCATCCATGCGAAAGTAGGTCACTGTCCAATGAGTGGCCTGGCGCACGGGGGTGACTTGTGAATGTGGCTGGTCTGCGTTAGATGCGAGCGTGATGGTCACGGGTCCTGCGGTCTCTCGCAGGTGGCCAGAGCAGACCTCCACCGGAAGAGCCCAGCCTGAGATGCCTCTGAAGATTTCTGTCTGCTCACGATGTGACAGGCTCCTCAGGAATCAATGCCCACTGAGGGCAGATTAAGAAGGGCTCATCTTTTCAAGAAGGGAATTCACCTACATCGTGTGCCCTCAGACAGGGACTTTGTTCCCCAAATATTAATAATTTCACAGTTGACCCAACTCAGCATTCCCTAGTGATTCCCTTTGGACGGGGATGATGAGTTCTAGAGATCTCCATGGCAACCACTTTTGAAGCACCTTTCAAGGAGACCCTGACCCAGTGACGTGACGTCCACTGCTGGGCTGGCAGGATCCATCCGGGTTCAGATGTTTCTGGATGGTTAAGGTTCTCAAATTAGAATCTTAGGGGGTTCCCCATGAACACTGCAAAGACGTTAAAATTGTTTCCAGATGCACTAGGGAATCCAAATGTGAAAGAATGTTTTGTATCTGTTAGTGATCTACCCACAGCTAATACTTTCCATCTTCAACCAGCGTTTCCCAATGTGTGGGGTGCTACCACCTCCCCCATCGTAAGTATGATCATCACTCTCATCACCACCATCATCATCATCATCACCAACATCACCATCACCTCCGTCATCGCCACCTCCACCATCAGCAGCATCACCATCATCTTCATCAGCATCGTTTTACCCGCAATCCGCATCAACGACTGTCATTCTGAGTAGGAGGATGTAGGAAAATGCTTTTGTAAAGCAAAAATACCCAAATTGTCAGTAAATCAACCCATGAATTTCTTGGAAATAATTTCTAAATCAGTCAAGTTTTTAAGTATTCTAATTGCTCTTTATTATAAAAAATGGCTACTTTTGGGAAAGGGCAAGATTTCGGGCTTGAAAATGGCCCTAGTTAATGGTGAATACTTTGAAATGAATTGATGCCATGCTTGACATGTTCTGAAGTTTATATGTTCAAAGTGATGGGAGAAAAATGAATCACCTGCAGAGAAAACAAATACGAATTCCCAGAGGATATTTTTTTTGAAATGAGGCCATTCAGATATGGTGCAATTTGAGTCAATCCAAATCCTGCCATATTATCACAGGATTTCTGAGGCCAAATCAAAAGAGAGGGGCGACATTCACCTCTGTTAACACTCATGCATCCATTATTGTTCCTTCTCTTCATAAGGTAGAATAATTGAAGGTTATTACAAAGCTCCACCATGTATTGTGCTGTCCAATATAAGCAGGCAGCCTGTAAGGGGGATGGGAGAAATATAACTGGAAAACCCAAGTGGTCCTATAAAAGAAAAAGAGTGTGTGATCATGTCAGAATATATCCTTGTGTCAGTTTCCTTTGCTCCAAAGACCATCAGAAATTCCAATGGTAGTGGGTTCAATTTAGAACTTGTTTCTATCTAAACCAAAATTCGTTTCGGAAGGCTGGAAGATGGGCTGAAGGTATGGAAGAAAGGGTATCTCAGAAGGGGGGAACAAGCTGAGCACAGGCTCTGGGGTGCAAAGGAACTTGTCACATGCAAGGAACTTAAAGACCAACGTGGCTGGACTGGGAGGAATGGGGCTGGAGAGATGGCAGGAACCACATTGTGCAAAGCGATGAGTCACCCAAGACCCCCTAGAAATGCATATTCATCTCTATCATTTAAGTAGTCAAATAATACTTCCTGATTATCTTTTTATTATTTATCAAGTTACATTTTAGCTATCTGGTTGTGGATCTGTCTGCCCCACTGTGCTATGAGATCTTTGTGGAGAAGAGAACAGGCCTGACTCCCCGGCACCGCTCCACTACTGAGCACGATACCCAGCACACACTCACCACCCAGTACGTGTGGCTCAGTCGAATTGTGGGTTCCCTTAGGACGCATACCTCGCTAAGGAGCGCCCCGCCTCTCTATGGATCCGGGGCTGTGCCAAGGAGCAAGAGGGAGAGGAGAGCCTGAGAACCGAGGTGACATGTTCAAAGAGTTGGCGTGGACATCTGCTGCTTGCCTGCTTGGCCTCTATCCCCCGCTCCACAAGTGCCAGCCCCTCTGCTTTCCTCTGGGAAACCACCCTTCACCTGTGCTTCTGCAGGTGGCTCGGGGGAGGCCCTGCCCAGGGCTCCAGCCCTCTAAAATTGACAGAATTTCATGCCATATATTTTACAAGTTAAAAACCCCAATGAGCAAAGCAATTCTTAGTTATTTCCCCCGCTGGCCAAATATTGTGAGTTCTTTATAGATCTTAAATGTTTTACTGGAAAAATACTGTGACATCTTCCAAATGCATGTTGCCAGGGCCCTTCCAACAGCCTCTATGAAGACGCTGATCCGTGAGCAGAAGGTCTGCTCTCCCCTCTGCCGCTCACACTTTGTCCTCACCCAAGAGTCACATAATTCCTCCTCCCTGGGCAAACCTTGGAGGGGTCTTGGGCATGTTGGGTATAGAAGAAAGCCTGACGTCTTGCTATAATAGGAAACTGGCAAGTGCTCTCCTCCCCTTTCCTGTGATGCAGCTCTTACAAGGATCCAGGTCCTGCTTTAGGTTTCTGAGACTGGGGCTTCCCTACAGCAGCACGCGTTAGCTCAGGGCTGAGCTGTCAGAATGTTCTATCCCCTTTGGCCACAGAGATTGGCTCAAAGATGGCCAAGGGGCCCAGCCAGAGCCAGTGAGACTCAATTCTTCCTTTGAAACTGAGGGATACAAACTCACGTTTCACTGTGGTTGCTGGATCCACCGGGAGCCAGCCAGGCACGAGGAGAGGTTGCCCAGGAATGGAGCCCGCAGAGGGGAAGGCAGACCCAAGGATGGGGAGAGATGCTGCCTGTCTGGGAACCTGGATTTAGCCATGCCTGAATTTGGACTTCCTAAAGATGTAATTGAGTACATCTTCAGTTTTTGAGCCATTTGATTTGATTTCTGTCACTTGCAATCTAGAGTCCTAATTAATCCACAGACCAACCTAGAAAAGATGTGAGATGCACGGGTAGGTGCTAGTCTACTGTCTGAGGACTTCAGCTATATGACCTCATAGAAGACATCCTTGCTGATTTAAAAAAATGTCTTTTGATTGGTGATTTAGGCTTTCATCTTTGCGTTGTTTTCACTTCTGCAGGCCTCTGTTTGGATCACGGTGGACCGCAGGTTTCGTGTAAATCCACTGGCGGCTTCCTGTGAACATGGACCTTCACAGGCTGCACTAGGCCTGGTCCCATTTCCTCCTCACCATTTATCATTTCCTAACACTGAAAGACAGAAAAAGAAAGAAGGAAAGAGTGAAACCCAACGAGCATAGTTGTCAATGTTTGGCAGAAAAAATACATTAAATTAGAATTAAAAATCTTAATTCTGTGGAAACTTCGATGAAAGAAACTCAATGGGCATAATTGTTAATGTTTGGCAGAGAAAGATAAATTAAAAATCTTAATTTTTTAGAAACTTTGAATAGTATTGTTAGGTGTGCACTTTCCTGTCATGTCCACATTTTCCCCTCTCATTGTGAGCTCAAAATGTTAGCTCTAGTTAACTTTTTATCTCCTCTTAAATACTGGCTTTCATTTCTGGATGGCCTCATTGTCTACAAAAGATATTTAAACATGTGATATGTTCAAGGTTACCAAGACACTTTGAATATTTTCTTAAAAATTATTTGGGTTTTGGCAAGATTCTGAATCTATAAACACATTTCTGTTATGCATTCTCTTACATACTGTTTACATATTTCTTTAGAAAACAGTGATTTTCCTTCTGTTTTAGAGATATGTTCATGCCTTTGCTCATTTCCCTCAGAGTTTGCTGTGTCACACTCAAACAAATTTGTTTAAAAGGAAAGAATAATTTATATCGGTTTCCCCAAAGGCCGCTACGTAAGTAGATTCCATCGGTGAATATATCCTCCACTAGCGTGTGAAATATGCTTTTACCCAGAGGCACACAGATGAATCTTGGCAACATGTGTGTGCATATCTTAAGGGAAAAGGCCTTCACATATTTCTGTCTTTCCAACCAGTGGTTTTCATAAGCCAAAGTCACAAGGACCAGGACTGTCATGAGAGAATGACAAGGCAGGATTTTGGCACAAAATTCACTGAGGCTGGAACTTTGCTTACAGCGAAGAATGACTCACTGCTTTGTGTAACTGTGTACGTGTTACAATAAGAGAAGCCCCGCGGTATCAGTAATAGAGATATTTGTTTAAAGTCTTTTTAGTCTGGGAGCATGTACAATTATCCCACATGGGCCTGTGACCCGTATGCAGAAGTCATCTTTTTTTCCTAGATTTTGCTAGAATGCATCTTGAGGACCCCTTGCCTTGTGGCGCCATGCAGGAGGAGGCAGCGTTGATTCTCTGCCTCTCTCTGACTGAGGGGTGCACAGGGTGGGTAGCTGCTTGGGGCTGGTGGGCACGGCCCCAGCAGGGTGAGGGAGGGGTCTCTGGGCCCCCCTCAACCAGGCCAGGCTGAGCTTTGCTCTGCCAGGTTCCCCTGCTCTGGCTCGTTCCAGAACCCACCAGAACTCACCAGGGACAGCCAGTCCCACCCTCCTGGCAAAACCACTATTTACGTGCAGGGCAGGTCCTCTGAAGGCCAGAAAACAAGGGCACTGGCTCCTTAAGGAGGCTCTTTGGAGAAGGGCTGGTGGGAGGCACTGAGGGCATAGTGACACCCTGCAGGGCCACCTCTGACCTGGGACAGTTCTGCAGCTCACAGGCTTTCCTTTCCCCCGAGGGGAGCAGGCTGAGAGCGGCTCTGGCTTCATAGTGCCTGGGAGGGAGACACGGGTGGGTGTGTGCTGAGCCACCCACGTCCGAGTTGTTTCATGCTGGTGATTAGTGTGGCCAAAGCGAGTTTCTGGTGCCGATGTGAGAAAGCTACCAGTGCCCCCCACGTGGAAATGTAGACAAAGGCGTGGCTCTTAGGAGGATGCTCTTGAGCCCAGCATCCATCAAGGAGTGCTAATGTCTCAAACCCTTAAACGGACCAAAGTGGCTGAATGTTTAAAATCCTGTCAGGAGAACATTTGAGGAGATCCATGTGTCTCATCTGGATGTTGAAAAGCCTCTTTCTCTTTTCTCATTTTTTCCTACCACTCTCTTATTTGTTTTTTCTTTCGTTCTCTTTCTTCTTTTCTCTTTCTTTCCTTCAAATTGCACCAAGAAGATGACTCAGTGTCTAATGAGAGGCCCGGAGTCTTCTGAGAATCACAATTGCCAGACGAATGAAAAATGTGGCCTTGATTAAGCCGAGTGTCTGAAATCCTGACATTTTTCTGCAGTTAAATTTATTTCCAGTTTATAGTCTCGGTGTACGAGGGGGCTGGGGCCGAGAGAGCAGCCTGGTTCAAGTCCACAGGGTAATCTGGAAGGATTCTGTTCGAGCGCCATCCCCTGGCGACTCCACATCCTGTGGTCCGGGGCGTCAGGAAGGCCTGTGATGAGCCCCGTGAAGGGTCGCTCAGCTCCTCCCAGCCTCTTCCGTACACCCCGGCTCAGCTCTGTGCGGCACCCCCAGATGCTGGGCCTCGAGCTGCACTGCACTGCCTGGGGTCGGTCCTCGGCTGGGGCTGGGGACCCGCACTGGGCCCCTCCGTGCCCACGGCGCCTGCCCGCGGGGCCCTTCAGGGGGCAGCCCCGCAGCTCAGTTGTTGGCGCCTCTCAGGCTTTCAGATCTGGCAGCTTTTCAACAAAGCCACCAAAGACCCAGTGTCCTCTTCCCAGTGAGTGGTGCCACCAAGCACCCAGTTCCTTGTGCCAATGACCCACGTGGCAGCCTCAGGCTTCCCTCTTCCTCCAGCCTGGATGGAATCTGTTAAACTAAGAACACGTCCCCCTTCTGTCCTCGCCTCTCCACGCCCTGCTCCCGTCCCCGAGTCTGCCCCTCTGTCCTTGCTTGTGTCACTACAACAGACCTGGCGGGTCCTCCAGCTCCCACTCCTCTTCCCGCCCCTGCGAACTACTCTCCGAGCACCCAGAGTGAGCTCAGGACGCAGACAAGATCGGGTCGCCCCGAGGAGATGTTTTAGGAGCTCCCGCTGCGCTAGGAGGAGCAGTGCCACTTCCTCATCCTGTCACATAGCCCTGCAGGTCATCCCAAATCATCTCCCCCACCCCGCCGACTCCCTCCATCCCAGCCACAGCCTTGGCTCCCCCTCCAGTACCCCGAGTCCTCCTGCACCGGCCTTTGCACGTGCTGTTCCTCTTCCTGGGATGCTCTTCCCGCAGCTCACCCTGTGACCTGCTCCCTCCTGGCCCCCCGTCCTCAGCGCTGGTGTCACCTACTCAGAGGACTCTCCTGACCACCCTGCCCAGGGAGGCCCTCCGCACTGCCACGTCATGTCCCCATGCCCACACACTGCCACCATCTGGAATTGACTCACTCTTCCCCATCTTCCTGCTGTCGTTTGCGCCCACAGGAATGCCGGCCGCGTGAGAGCAGGAATCTCGCCTGCTCGCGGTCGGATCCCTGCTCCTGCGCAGCGTGAGCTCTGCATGCGTGTTTGCTGGATAATTGAATGAGTGAGGAGAATCCCTGAGCAGACCGTGCAGAATTCTAAAATAATATCTGAATCGCCGATGTTGCAGTCGGGGGAAGCCCTTGGAGCCATGTAGCCAAACCCGCTCATTTGCCAGTGGGCGGCCGAGCTCAGGAGGACAAAGCGATTTGCTCCTCGCCCTCAGGCCGGGGTCTTCTCCCTACGCCTGCGGGAGGGCCCCCACGCAGCGCTGTCCCTCGTGTGTCTTGGGGATATGTGACCATGGGGGGTGAAGGGGCCTCTCCTACTCATTTCACTGTGACTCTTTGCAAGGAAAATAGGGACAGAAGGCACAAATATGGCAAGAGGTAAATGACTAAAGGCAACATGGTCCAGCAGAGACTGGGTGGGGGCGGGGGGCTCCCCTGAGCATGGGGAGGGATGACGGCCTTGAAGAGGGGCTGACCCCAAATCTGACGTCAGCTCGAGGGAGGGCGGCGGCAAGAGCAGCACTGAGCTGAGCCTCAGGAACTTAATTCACCTACGGAAACATTTACTGAGCACCTGACTCAGCCGAGGGGACTGCAGACTGTAAGTCGGAGCTGTGCTCTCTGCGGGAGCCTCTAATGGCTTCTGCGTCCCTTTCCCAGGCCCCCTGCGGCAGATTACAGTGCACTACGCCGCTTAAAGCAACAGAATCTTCTCACTGCTCCGAAGTCTGACGTCCAGGTGCGGGCAGGCCCATGCCTTCTGTTCACGCCTCCTCACCAGCTCTGCGGGGTCCCCGGCGCCCTGGGCTGCAGACGCATCGCTCCAGCCTCTGCCTCTGTCCTCATGGCATGTCGTCCTTGTGACTTGGCGCGGCCTCTCGTAAGGATGCTGGTCTCTGTGTGTAGGGCCCACCACTATCCAGTGTGACTTCACTTTTGTTTAACCAACTGCACCTGCAAGGCCCTATTTCTACATAAGTCACATTCTGAGGTTCCAGGTGGGTGTAGATTTGTGGGGGACACTGTTCAGGCCAGGACAGCTTCCCACTGCTCCCAGATTAGCATCTACACCCTCCCGGTGACTCTGAGGTGGTGCAGCGGGTGGTTGAGAGTGAAGACACCAGGACGGGCTGCCCAGGCCAGCACCCAGCTGGGTCACTGCCCCGCATGCCTGGGGTCGGGGGTTGTGGTTCCTGTGCTTCCCTCCCCTCTAGAGGACGACACTCCCCCTCTGCCACCTGATGTCACAGGGCCTCCCGGGGACGTGGGTGTGGCCAGGCCTTCTGCTCTGGCTGAGCGACCCTTGTGGGCGTGCCGTGGGCAGAGGCTGTGAACTTGGTCCTTGGCTCCTGCCCTGAGGAGCTGCTGCCCCAAGGCTGTCTGGAGCTTCTCAGGGGGGACTGGAACCTGCTCCACAGCCTGAGGCCCAGAGACCGTCAGCATGGAGCAGGGGCGCCCAGCCGAGCCCAGGGGAGCCCAGCTCAGCTGAACCAGACCACCTGCAGCTCCACCAGCTGAAGGGTGTCGGCTGCTGGACGTCACTGGGTTTGGGGTGGTTGTTACAGAGCATTACTGTGACAATGGCCGAGTAATACAGAAATGTGACACTGGCACATGTTAACCTCTCAGTTTCCCCATCTGTAAAATGGGGCTAATAACAGATGATCAGGCTGTTGTGAGGATTAAATGAGATAATACACGTAAAGAGGAGTATGGATTGGCGCGCATCAGCTCCCAGCATAATCACAAAGCCCGTGGGACCCACCATCTCATACTGTCCCCCTTGGTCACTATGGTTGA